GGTTCAGAGAGCTTCCAGATTGGTGGACAAGAATGCATCCATATGCTGGGGGGATGGCTAACCCCAAACTCCAAGGGGACAGACGCTCCTGTGCTCGGACTCCCCCTGTGTCCTTCATCTGGCTGTTCAGTTTTATCCTTTAATATCCTTTGTAATAAAACCAGCAATCTAGTAAGTAAACTGTTTTCCTGGGTTCTGTGAGCTGCTCCAACATTTAATCAAATCCAAAGAGGGCATCCTGGGACCTCCCATTTTTAGCCAGCGGGTCAAAAGCACAGGTGACCACATGGACGTGTGATTGGCATCTGTCCTCAGGGAGAGGGCAGTCTTGTGGGACTGAACTTTCACCTGCGGCATGTGATGCCATCTCCAGGCAGATCATGTTAGAAATGCGTTAAACTGTAGGACACCGGGCTGGTGTTGCCGAATCAATGTGGGAAAAAGTACCACATGCTTGGTGATCTCAAGGGCCTGAAGTGAAGCAGAGGGTTGAGAGTAGAGGAGACACACAGCATTGTGTTTTTCCGTAAGAGATGTACTCTGAAAACCATGTTAAGATAACTTAGAAACTGATTCTGATGATGAAAAAAACATGGATGTAGAAGATACATTATTAAATGAAATTGTTTCATGAATGTGAGGGTGCAAGAAAGACAATATTATTACATTATTTCATATAAAATGTGATCTTTAAATATGTGGGTAGATAAAGTATTTTAAAAAGGCATTTAATTCTTTCATCCTTTTGGTCTTCTCATTAGAAATTAAGGACTCACCATATACACACATGGCTATACTTTTCGAATCACTTAATTTGTCCCTAGAAAGTAGTTTATTGGACTTCAGTATAAAGTATTTGTTTTAATTCTTTAAAAAAAGAGTCATTGAGAACCACATTAGGGGGCCGGCCCCATGGCTGAGTGGTTGAGTTCGCGAGCTCCACTTTGGTGGCCCAGGGTTTCACCAGTTCAGATCCTGGGCACGGACATGGTACCGCTCATCAAGCCATGCTGAGGCGGCGTCCCACATGCCACAACTAGAAGGACCCACAACTAAAAATGCACAACTATGTACTGGGGGGCTTTGGGGAGAAAAAAGGAAAAATAAAATCTTAAAAAAAAAAGAACCACATTAATTAAACATTCCCTTTTGATTTCTAAGATAATTTTTCCCTTTGAGTCTTACAGCAACAATAACTGGCTTTGAAAAACGTAAACATATAGTCAGTATTGTTGAAACAAATACCATTACCATGAAATCTCTCTCTCTCTCTTTTTTTTTGCTGAGGAAGATTAGCCCTGAGCTAACATCTGTTGCCAATCTTGTTTTTTTCTTGAGGAAGATTAGCCCTGAGCTGACATCTGTGCCAATCTTCCTCTACTTTTTATTTGTGGGTTGCTGCTACAGTGTGGCTGATGAGTGGTGCAGGTCCCGCCTGGGATCTGAACCTGTGAACCCAGGCCACCAAAGCAGAACATGCCAAACTTAATCACTATGCCACAGGGCCAGCCGCCCATGAAATCTGTTTGTAATAAAATAGCACCAAGGCCAAACTTAGTTTGGATTATAACTAAGACGACAAATGAATTTGGGCAAATGTCTGGAATTTGTTACAACAAGACACTTGTTTCTAACTGACTAATAAGAAAAGACCAACACAATATCAAAGCATGCAAACTAGATGTATCTGTGCTTAAAATACATCACAATCAAGTTAAAGGAAATGAGATTGGGCACTTAAACATAAATATGTCTTCCAAGGTTGAACTTAATGAGAATTTGGGCCTGTTAAAGAATCGTGAAGAACTAGTATTTTCTCTTAGACTATGATAAGAAGTAATGTAGAATGGGTTATAAACTTGAAGTGATAGCAGCCCCAGGGCACAAAGATGTGATGTCCAGGCCTCGGAGCTCCTACACCACCTTCTCTGGAAGCCTGGGACCCAGTGTGCCCCAGGGACAGATGCAGGCTTCCTCTCCAATCTGGCTTGTTACAAGGGAGCTACATGATTTAGTGTCTAACGACCCTTCCTTCTCCTCCCAGGGAAGAATGGGAGCAGTACAGAAGTAGGAAGTTTTCAAAGATCAAAGAAAATATGATCCATTCTTGTATCTTTTCTTTTGACTTTGGAGTTTGAGGTTCTAGTCACTCCATTTCCTTGTGGATCTGTGAGAAAGATGTTCACTTCCCTTCCAAGAGAAATAAAGTGGCAGCTGCCTCTTGGCCTCTACCCCAGGTCCCCTTATAAGCAGGTTTTATAAGTCTGATGAAAAGTTTCAGCAAACACACATGCACAAGTGCACACATACTCATACACTCTCTCACCCAGAAATCATCTATTTCTAGTCCTTTCGTTCACATATAAGAAAACTAAGACATGGATAATCAGGGACCCATCTATGCAGCTTTGGTAGAATCCAGACATGATCTCACATCTTCCAATTCCCATTCCGCTGTTCATTCCATTTCATCACTCTGATAAATCATTCTTTCAAGTCCTCACTATGAGTGACAACAGCTGCCTGCTGCAATAACCTTTTCTATAACAAAGAAACTCAACTTGGAATGGATTCAAGTCACTCAAGTCTCCCCCCCCCCAAAACCCCAACATCCGAGAAAGATGACAGGGTGCTAAAGAGAGGGGGCTAGCTAGGCTGGGTGATCAAGGTCAGTGTGCCTGCCTGGCTCTCTTGCTCTGTTAACCTCCCCATACTAAGACTTATTTGTGTTCATTTCAAGAGGCAGGATGAGTGCTCTCATTCCCCACCCATGTGATCTCCCACAATTGGCTGAGTTGGCATATGTACTGCCACCCCTGCACAGAGCGTGCCTTGATCCCAATGCTGCAGAAGGCTGTCTGAAAAGTTCACATATTTCTTTGGTAGATACCTATAAACAAACACTTAATTAAAACTAGTATCTCTAGGAACAAAGAGAATCTTATCAAATTAATACATCTTAAAACACCAAAACTTGGCTAAGAGGTGTTTTTAATAATCAATCTCATAGGTCAATAAAAGAGCTATAAATACACAAGTTACTGCTACCTCACAATTCTGAAACTTGTGAAGTTTTAAAGAAATGTTTAATGTTAACAGTTGCTTACTTAGTAGATATAGATCTAACAAGAACCAATCAATTACAACCAAAGATTTTGGGTAGGTATAGGTATGAGCAGGGAATGCTAGAGGGGTGGCATGACATAAAAAACTGCCTAGCCTATAAAAAAACTAAATAAAATCAAACTTACTCATCCAGCTACTTGGATTCTTTTTCCCTCTTTCGGGTGAGAAGACTGGGTTGAATATGCTGGCTAAGAATGAATGGGTTTCACATCCTCCATGGGACTGAGAGTAAACTCTTGGAAAGAGGGATTCACACCATGACTCAAGTCCCTTTTTCTACTCCTCATCCTCACCTCACCACTGAGTTAGTTAAACCTAAAATCTTCCCTGCAAAAGCATTAAACATCAAGGGTACAAGACAAGAAGCAGAGTTTCCAGTCTCTTTGGAGCATCACACTTTCATCTGCCTGATAAAAATAACAAGTCACAAACAAGGATCAGAAAACTGGATTCAGATTTATAAGATAAACATAACTAGTAAAAAGTAAATACAATGGACTAGGAAAGAAGGAGCAAGCTAGTAACTGGGTCAGAGGCAGAGTTTAACTTTAACCAGAAATATGATTTAAAACGTTAAGCATGGTTTACACCCTAACAATATAACCCATTCTTGGGTATTTAAGTTAATAGGAAATGTATAAGCTCAAGATAAAAACTGCCACAAACCTTATTTTAAGCATAGATCTAAAGACAGCTAATTGGGAATAAAACTCCCTCCACTTAAGAACTTAGGTAAAAATGCTATCTATCAGAATAAAAGCACTTTAAACTGCCTGCATTGGAAGATATAAATAACAGCAACCATGTCCTTCTGAGCTTAAGAAGCAGTGTGCGCACAGCTTGCAGAACCTGGCTTGCATACCAGAGGAGTTTCTGTATAAAATCAATCTGAGGAATTTATACCACTCTTGGTTCTAGCACCAGCTGGGTGACCTTGGGAAAGTTACTTAAGTTAGAGTTTTAGTTTCTTATTTGTAAAATAGAAATTATTTTACCTATCTCACAGGGTTATTGTAAGTATTAGATGAGATAATTTATTAGCAAGTATCCAATCCAATCCTTTTTATTGAGGGTGTTTTGTTGTTATTTTCTACAAAGACAATCCAGGTTCTTAGCACTACAGTAGAAGAACACAGGACTAATCTTTTCAGGTTTTCTTGTTTGTCTTGTTTTAATCAAAGAACTACCATGATAAAGAACTGATCAAAGTTATTTATTGTAAAATTGAACATTATACTTATAGACCCAATGCTACTCACTGGATTATAGAAATATGAGTATAAAGTATTAAAAATATGTCTTTCTCTTTTTATATGGCAAAATTTTCTGTGTGCTCCTTTTTGGAAAGGGTATTCTCATCAGTTATAAACTGCTGCTCCAAATTACGTGATAATTTAGATCAAGGTCATTACCAACCCAGATGACCAACCTGAAAAATACTGTTCTCATGTCAGAGACCTTGAAGAAAGAACGCTCTAATGGGATTAAGATGGCTGGCAAAGAATTACAACACGAATAGCTCAAGAAATCTTAATTTGTGAAAGGTCACAGAGTTACAAAAAACATCGCTCATTTCAACTAATTAAATGAAATTTTAGTTAAATGGCACCTTAAATATTGGTATTGCAGCTGCAAGTGCATTTAAATAGCATTTATGCAGATATAATTAGCACAATTAAACATGGGTAGAAGTAGAAACACTATTCTTAATTATATTGATATAATCAGTTTTATTAATGCTTTATAGCAACAAAAGTGACATCTGACAGTAGCACACAATTCATGACTGAACCTAATATTAAGCATTTTAGCATATTAAGGACTCTAAAGCCAGGTAATTGGGGAAAGAAAGAAGTCAAATAATGAGTTCCTACCTGTGACGATACCATAGTTGGGAGGTTCAAGAATTACTCCATAAAACTGGATGATGTTTCTGTGACTGAGGACACTGAGTATTTCTGCCTGTACAAAAATCAAATACAAAACTGCATAAAAGTTCACATTTATAAAAGTTTTACAAATAGATTTCCATTCAATTTTCTTTTGCATACATTTACAAAGATATATATGTGCTCAACAAGTAGGTGATGCTGAGAAAACTGCCTTTGGCAGCATTCTTGAAAGTTGAAGAATTTCTACTGAAGCTTGCTGAAAATTTAAAAAGGAAATGGGGTTGAAGCGGCCACAAGAGGTGCTTACTGGTGAGCCAGCATGAGACAATGAAGGAAGATGACGCAATAGGGGAGACGACATATTTATTTACTCTAAAAGCCCTCTTCCTAATAGTCACATAGACTTTTTCTGCACAATGTCTCTTCTAGGAGACTGCAGCAAGACTGAACTTCTATCAGTTGGATGAATAGTCATGACAAAATTAAGCTGGGGTTTCCTAACTAGTACTTGAATAGATTCAGGTGACACCCATTTATATTATTTATCCAATCATTCATTCAAAATATATTACTGCTCTCATATTGTATGCAAGGTACTGGAAAGGATATAAAGGTGGATTCTTGACCTCCAGTGGTGATTTCATAGGGAAACCATACTTTACACTTTGAAATGTATTAAATACTAGAAAACTGTACTACAGAGTCAAGTGGTAAAAAATAGATTATATTTACTAGACAATTTTTAAAGTGAAAAAACAGAGATACTACAGAGTATCTCTGCTAATGTCTATAGAAGGATGTTCTCTAGATTAACTAAATCACATGTAGGCACTAAAATTTTATTACTTTTGTGGAGATAAAATACAGCTAACCAAGAATTATAAATACAATTAGGTACACAATCGTGTAAGTTAAATACAAAAAATGTTTAATATTTTTAAATGAAAGGCATGTTATTGGCAGTAAGTAAATAAAGATTTATAAGTCCTCATCCTAGAAAGGGGATCATGAAGAAGAATGTCAGCAATTGAGGATAAATGGAGATGCCTTGGTCAGAAAGGGGACTCCCCTTTGGGAATCTGCACACTATGAATGTGTTGTTATAATTTTTTTCACAGAAAGATTTGAGATTTCATTAAAAACACTGTGAAATTTGCTTTGAAGTTCAAATAACTAGCTAGGTAGAAAACAGAATTTTGAGGGTTCGCATTGGGTCAATACAGAACCAAGAGAAAGGAAAATTATCATTGATGGGAGCCAGTCCAGTGGCCAAGTGGTTAAGTTCGTGCTCTCCGCTTTGGCAGCCCAGGGTTTCGCTGGTTTGGATCCTGGGCATGGACATGGCACCACTCATCAGGCCATGCTGAGGTGGCATCCCACATAGCACAACTAGAAAGACCTACAATTAGAATATACAACTATGTGCTGGGGGGCTTTGGGGAGAAGAAGAAGAAAAAAGATTGGCAACAGATGTTACCTAAGGGCCAATCTTAAAAAAAAGAAACAATCTATGGTTTGAAAAATAAAATTATCATTGATGGGATGAGGCATTTATCAAGATTGTTTTGACAATGTTTTTCTTTTGGTAATATAGGTATTGAAGGGGCTATTAGAACAACTCCCTCACATTCACTGAGTGCCTACTGCATGCAGGAGTTCTGTGTTCATCAAGCAACCTTCTTCTAATAGCATAGATTTCCAAGTAGGAAGAAAATGCACTAATTGGGTGATACAATTATTCAACCATATGGCAATTCTACTCATTGAGAAATAAATGAACTTTGTTGTAAAAACAGAGTTCATGTGAAGTTTGGAAAGCATACGCCTCCCCTATTTTTAAGTGGCAGATGAACCCTTTGTGAGTAAAGCATGGAGTTCAATGTGATTAGAGCATTAATGTTTGGACCAGTATTTGCAAAAGAAAGGAGTGTTATTTTTTATTCTTTGGTACGTTTTGGTATATTCCTTGGGGTATCTAAATTCTGTGACCATTAAAATGTTTGTACTGGGGGCCAGCCCCATGGCCTAATGGTTAAGTCCAGTGTGCTCTGCTTTGGCAGCCCAGGTTCGGTTTCTGGGTGCAGACCTACACCACTTGTCGGTGGCCAGGCTGTGGTGGCGACCCACATACAAATTAGAGGAAGACTGGCATCAGATGTTAGCACAGAGAGAACCTTCCTCAGCAAAAAGAAAGTTTGTATTAATAAAGAATAAATACAAGAACATTCTGAATCCTGGATGACCATTTTATAATTCAGCATGACATGGATTTTCAGTGTTCCAGCTAATTTTCATATTTACCTTTAAGATACTATCAAGTGGTACCTTGGAGAGACGATTTATCTTTCCAAGCGTTGGTAAGCATGTCTAACAGCTCATGGGTAGGCATATACTAATATCAAAATAACAACCATTATCTTTGTGTCTTATTGTTGTGCTCATTTTTAAAATTTTTTACGGTTACGGAAACTATACTCTTGCAGTATAATTTGCAAGTGAAAGACATTTCTATGGAATTAGACTTTAGGTTCTAATTTAATAAACTAAGAATTTGATTTAACATCATGAAAACAACATACTATTTTAGGGTGCTGTTCTAGTTTTGTGGAAATGGGCTAATAATAAACAGAAACAGACTAAATAAATAAGTGGTATTTGCAATAAATGAAGGCCAAGAGATATCACGATGTTAGCAATTCAAACAAGCTCCCATAGAAATAACTGTGGGATTAGTCACATTACTAAAACCTGAGCTGAGCAGTCAGCATCTGATGGCAAGCAGATGTATTCTGTAGATTTGCCTTTATCGGCACCTGCTTGCCAACAGTTCATGAATGAAACGGTTGTAATAAACATGCAGTAAATAACTTCTCCTTAAATTGTTGTTGTCCTGATTTAAACTCTGGGATACTCTAGCACATAGACTGCCCATTCAAATAATGGATTAGTGGTTTAAAAAAGTCCTGCCTGTTAAGAAAGGAAACATAATAATGAGGAAGGCTAAAATAATGGTCCACTGCGCAAAAAAAAAAAAGTAAATATATCTTTTAACACTATTGAAAACAAAAAAAGTCATTTATTTTCAACAAAATTTGATGAAAATTGATCACTTCAGTCATATTGATTCTACATTTTATTTGACCACAATGAAAAAAATTCTTTAAATGCTCTTCTAGACTTTGGCAGAAATGAATGATGACATATATATATACACACACATACACACATATACAATAATCATCCCAAAGTTACACAACCCAAGGTCTAAATATCCTTGGGATAAATAAGTAGTTTTCCAGAGTAGGACTAGAGGATCTAGGGAAAGACTGACAGACTACAGCAGTTTCACCTCAGGCTCGGAGACTCTCCATAAAACAAGGAGTCCCAATGTGAGAAGTGGAGTAAACACAGGTCTGTCCATAAAAACGTCTAACAGTCACGTCCTTATCAGAGTTTCAGTAAGATACGTGACAGCTCCGACTGCTTCCAGCGGGGACCGGTTCCTTCCTCCCTCCCTCTCTCTTTTCCTCCCTTCCCATTTCTTTTCTTCTTTCTTTATAGGAAAAATGACAGAGGTTTTAGTTTGTTAATAGGGCTGGGGAGGAGGTGGGTATTTTGTTAGTTTTATTTTGTCTGGCATTTCTATGCATTTCTATGAGGAGATGAGCCATTAGCTCAGTTTGCCATGTTTCCAGAAGTCGACCACCACACAGGTTCCAAAGAGCTGATTCAATCAGGGAGCAGAAGTTAAATGTCATAATTTAACTAAATTTAAGTTAAGGGAATTTAAGTTTTAATCTCCTTCTTTTAAAGTACTTTCAACAGCTTTAAAATAACATTTTAAAATAATTTATATCTTCATTTCAGAGCAATCCCTTTCCTGCAATTCAAAACTTTTTTTTTCTGTTTTGACAGAAACTGAGATATAACTGACATATTATATTAGTTTCAGGTGTATGACATAATGATTCAATATTTGTATATATTGCAAAATGATCACCACAATAAGCCTAGTTAACATCTGTCACCTACATAGTTACAAACTGTCTTTTCTTGTGATGAGAACTTTTAAGATCTACTCTCTTAGCAACTTTCAACTATACACTACAGTATTATTAACTGTAATCACCATGCTGCACATTATATCCCCATGACTTATTTATTTTATAACCGGCAGTTTTTTCAAGCCAATCCCAAATTTAAATTTGTTTCTTTACTTGTGGAGTGCTGCCATAGAACCCTTAAGGATTCTGTGTTTTTAAAGCTTATTTTACATTCCATTGATGTAGCCTATATGTATTTATGTAATAAATAAATTATAAATAAAAATTAGTTCACTTCCTTTTGTGAAAGTAAAGGTACTGACAGCATTCTATTAATCTATTGTCTATGGTCTACAGACAGCATTCTAATGAAAGCAATAGTTATGAAGACCCACATCATTAGGCTGGCAGGCCCTATTTACACCTTACATTAGGAACAGGTCTTCCTCCCTGGTTGTCAACAGCTATTCCCTCCACATAGCAGCAGGATTATGCACAGGGTCCATCCTTCTGCCTGTGATGTGGTACTGACAACAAGGACAGTAGGTATTAAAAAATCCATGGTACACTCCTACTGTCCAGAGCGTCAACTGCTCATCCTTTCCCTCTGGTACATGTGGTAAAAGAAAGAAAAACGGCTCGTTCAATCATTCAGAGGAAGCAGTCTCCTTACTACACTGAGCATTCAAGGTCAAAGGCTTTATCCAAAGACAGCTCTGTCTCCAGGTTCCACTATGATCCAGGGTTAGGATATTCCCCCAAAGTTCAAGAAGATGTACGATCCCACATTTTAAAAAAATAAAAATTATATATACAGAAGAGAGACTGAGAAGAAATAAACCAAAATATTAATTATGATTATCTCTAGATAGTAGAAAGAATCATAAATAATTTTAAGTTTTTACCTATTTGCCAAATTCCTTACCATCAGCTATATATATATATATATATATATTTTAAAAGCAAATGTCAGTTACTCTGGTGTCTTCTTTTTTTAAAAGACTGGCACCAGAGCCAATCTTCTGTT